AAGCTTCGAAACGGCCTTCCGAGGCCCTTGCATCCTTATCGTGCATCCTCACTGTACGGGTCGACTATACCTCCTCACGCACGTCTGGGTATCTGGAGGTGTCCGCACGCCTGATCAGCGCCGAGGAAGGCCAGAAGCGCTCCGGCGGCCTCCTCAAATGGCCATCGCCTCCTGAGGCATCAGGACCAGCCAGTGTGGCCCACGGCGAACCGATGTCCACCGTCTCTCGGCCTCTGGGAAGAATGCCTGGAGAGCGTAACAAGGGAGGCCGATCCTAGGGGCCCACGATAGGCGTGGCCAGGACGGCGTCGGTGTACGATGTCATGGGCGCCCCCCCGTCAGCTGGCACCCGACCACGACGGCGACGGCGATGACGACAAGCCCCAGACGACGACGGCGACGGCGACCTGAACGACCTCTAAGAACGACCCCTCGACAACGACTCCCGACCACGACCTCCCGTCGGCGACGACGAGGCGGCGACAACGACGACCACGAAGGCCACCTCGACGACGACACCCCGACGGGCGGAGGCGGCGGCGGCGGCGACGACGGCCTCGATACCTGTCTCCTGACGACGACCCCCAAGACGGGTGACGACGAGGACGACGACCTGTCGCAGACGACGGCAGCGCCCCGCGGCGACGACGGCCACGACCGCCGACGACGATATCCCGGCGCCGGCGGCGGCAGCGGCGGCCCCAGGGGGCCTTCGGCTCCCTCTGCCCCCCGGGGGGGGCCGCGGCGCGCCGCGCGCGCAAGGCCTACCCCTGTGGATGCCACGACAATGGACACCCGAACAGTCCTATCATTGAATTCAAAATGTGTTCAGAATGTCGGAAAGCATTATACACATGATTTTAAACGTTTGCTTCACATGCTTAAAAAAAATTGGAAATGATGTGGCAGCGTGCCTCCTCTCCATGGATCGTGCTCCGCAGCCCCCCCCCCCCGTGCGCCCGCACGCGCGCGGCGGCTCGGGCCACGCGCGCGGGCCGTGCCCGACGGGACGGCACGGCGGCACCCCCGCCGCCGAGAGCTGCGGCAGGCTTGGGCTTCGCCACCGCGGGGGGGGGAGTCTCCACCCGAGGGGCCGAGGGCTGGCGGGGAGGAGTGGCGGCGGGGTGGGAGCAGGAGGGACGCGCGCAAGCGAGAGGAGGAGAAGGCGGCGGAGGAAGGAGGAGGAGGAGGAGGCCGATGCATACCACGGCCGAGGTTGTCAGGGAGGAGTGGTGACGGGGCAGGAGCAGGAGGGACGCGCGCAAGCGAGCGGAGGAGGAGGCGGAGGAGGCCCAAAATCTGCTGGTGCTCCCCGTGTATTCTGCCCGTGCTCTCTCGACAAGTCACGACTGCATACCACGGCCGCCAGAAATCCAGGGGGGGCCCAGGGCTCCTTGGGGATCCCGCCTCACATGCTCTGGTGGGGTGCGCTGGAAGCAACATATATCAATATGTTAGGCCTCCACGGAGCTCGTCGTCGCCATGCCCGATGGAGGCCCAGAAGTTTCGAGCGCGGCCTGGTCGCAGCTAAGGCGACGACGAGGCTTCCCTCGAAATCATGGTCGGGAACTGCTCCAGAATGGGTCCGCGGCTTTTGAGCCCCAGGCTTCCGACGGATCAACGGTGCCGATCGCCGCGTTTTGTGCCGAGATCGACAACCGAGGGCCGCTAACGAACCCGTCACGGGGGAAGAAGAGAAAAGGGAGGAGGAGGAGGCGGAGGAGGGGTAGAGACGACGAGGAGGAGGAGGTGGACAAAGAGGAGGGGGGGAGGAGTTCTTCTCCTTCAACTCTCAAGCATTTCGGGAGCGCTTGTGGGCAATAAGAAAACCTCGGACTGGGGCGTCAAGAGCCATGGTTTGCCCCCCGTCGTCTATTCGCCAGGTAGTCAACCATACTGCTGTAACCGTACAACTGCACTATTCAGTCACGCCCGAAGGAGTAGCAAGAGGGAACGACCGACGCGGCGCCAACGGCAGCCCCAGGGAACCACGACGGTAGACGATTCAGAAAGGGCAGGGACACGAGCAGGAGGCTGAATGACTACCTACCAGACCACCCCAACCCAACCCGAAGACCCGAATTTCGGGTTGGGGGGGTAAGGGTTCCACGCGTGCTTTTTCGATGTTTCCCGACCCCCCCCCCACTAGAAATCGAGGGTAGATCTGAGCCTTCGGGTTGGGTTGGGGTGGTTTGGTGGGTGGTGACTGAAAGAGCATGGGCGCGGCCAGGGGAGTCACACCTGGGGCTTCGGCCCGTCCCGCCAGGGTCCCGGGAGGAGTGCCCGGACCCGGTTGCCAAGGATTTGTCTCTCCAGATGGCTCCAAGACGACCCAATATGGCCTCCAAGATGCATCCAAGACTGCCAAGATGGCCTCCAAGACGGCTAAGATGGCTCCAAGATGCCTCCAAGACGAGCCAAGATGCACCCAAGACGGCCTAAGATGGCATCAAGATGGCCCAAGACGGCCCCAGGAGGCCCCCAAGAGACCTCCGATACGGCCCAAGAGGCCCCCAAGAGGTCCTCCAGGAGGACCCGAAGATGCCAAAATCATTAATTGTCCTTAGGTGTTTCAAGGATTTGGGCATTTGCGCTTTTTCGGCTTTCTGACGGCCCAAGACGCCCAAGAGGCCCCCAAGGTCGCCCCAAGATCGGCCGAGCGGCCTCCAAGATGGCCCCATGACGGCCCAAGAGGCCCCCAAGACGGCCCCAAGAGGGCCCCAAGACGCCCAAGATGGCCTCAAAGACGGCTAAGATGGCTCCAAGATGCTTCCAAAACGGCCCAAGATGCACCCAAGACGGTCTCAGATGGCCTCCAGATGGCCTCAGACGGCCCAAGAGGCCCCCAAGAGGCCTCCAAGACGGCCCAAGAGGCCTCCAAGAGGTCCTTCAGGAGGGCCCGAAGAGGCCAAAATCATTGATTTCCCGCAGGTGTTTGAAGGATGTTGGCATTTGCTTTCCTAGGCATTCCGACGGCTCACGACGGCGCAAGAGGCCCCCAAGATCGCCCACTAGGCCTCCAAGATGACTCCATGACGGCCCAAGAGGCCCCCAAGACGGCCCCAAGAGGGCCCAAGAGGCGTCGAGGAGGTCTTCCAGGAGGTCCCGAAGAGGCCAAAATCATTGATTTTCCGGGGGCTTTTGAAAGATTTTGACCTTTGCTTCTTCTCGGCATTCCGACGGCTCAGGACGGATCAAGAGACCCCCAAGATCGCCCAAGAGGCCTCCAAGATGGCCCCATGACGACCCAGACGGCCCCCAAGAGAGCCCCAAAAGGGCCCAAAACCGGCGCAAGAGGCCTCCAAGACGCCCAAGACGGCCTCTAAGAACTTCTGATATGCCCCAAGAGGGCCCCAAGACGACCCAGACAGGCCCCCAAGACGGCTTCCGACGGCTTCCGACAAGCCAGGAACGCCCTCAGACGGCCAAAGAGGCCCCAAGACGCCCCCAAAGGCCCCCGAAACCCTCCAAGAGGCCCCCAGGAAGCTCAAGAGTGCCCCAAGAGGCGCCCAAGAAGCCTCCTCCTCCTCCTCCTCATCCTCCTCCTCCTCCTCCTCCTCCTCATTTTTTTTCCTCATCCTTCCCCTCGTCCTCTTCTTGCTCCGCCATGCGTTCCCCGAAGTCTTTCCACAAAGACTCGGGGAACAACTGGCCCGATAGCTTGGCCAAGCTCTGGCCCAGCTGTCGGCCACAGAGGCGCTTCCAAAGGGGCAGGGGGCGGCGGTGATTCGCCGTAGGCGTCTTCGATAACTTTATAACTCTAGACGGGGTGACGTGCCTGCGCCGATGAAAAGACAAGGTCCGGCGGGCCTGCGCCGGCGTCTGCGAGTCCAGGGCCACGCCTGTACCTACCGATTGGACGTGCCGAAGAGCCAGGGCGGCGGTTTCGCTGATAAAAACGCTCGCGCCAACAGCGCGATAACGAAGATATGCGTGCGCCCTGTCATTGGGCGCGACCGCGGCGCCCGCGCCTGGCCGCGCGCAGCGCCCGCGCGGAAAAATCGAGTGCCCCCGCGGCGCCTACGCTGACAACTCGATTGCGAAGCGACACCTGCACTGCATCATTTGACGCGTTCGCGGTGCGTGCGCAGAATCGCGCGCACAGAATGCGCAGATGAAGCGACGGCGCCCGTGGCGCATGCGATAGCGCCGCCATACCCCATGTTTCGACCAGCGTGCGTTGTCCGCGCCGAATCACGCGCGGCGGGAGTGGAACGGAGCGATGGTTGGACCGCGCGCCCTCGGCGCGACGTCGCTGGTTTTGTGCGGAGCAGGAAGGAGCCACCTAGGCGCGGAAAGCATCGAAACCCTCGCTCGAGAGGTCGATGTTGCGACGATTCATTGGCGCGCTCACCTACCAGGTCGCAGAGCCTGGACAATGCGTTCCGCTGTCCGCCTTTGGCTAACGTTCGGCATCGGAATACGGAGCTATGCATTCAGCCAAAATGGCCACGGACGACATTGCCGTGGATGCGAAGATGACGGCGACGGCGGTGACGGCGACGGCGGTGACGGCGATAGCGGCGAGGCAACTGTCGCGGCCTCAATCGCAACCATGTACATTGAACCCCGTCACGCAGATCGTCTCCCAGTAAGGTACCCCTGCCTCGTCCGGATAAAACATGGAATGACAACACGCCTGTGGCGAAGCCCCCGCGGACAGCATCGGACTCTGCCCCACATCGGAACCCGAAGTCGACTCGAGTCGAGATCGCCAACCATCGACATCGAGGCCGCCTCGAATCGGAGAGGTTCAGCTGACTACCTAACAGACCACCCCAACCCAACCCGAAGACCCGAATTTCGGGTTGGGGGGGGTATGGGTTCCATACGTGTTTTTTCTATGTTCCCCGACCCCCCCCCACTGGAAATGGAGGTCAATTTGAAGCCTTCGGGTTGGGTTGGGGTGGTTTGGTGGGTGGTGATCAGCTGACCCTGCCCCCCCCCGCCCCGACGATCCGCGGACGCTCGGCGCGGGGCGGGGGCGCCTGCGGCACGTCTCAGCAGAACGGCCGCGCCTGCCTGCGCCGCGGCGACGCGCGCCGCGGGCGCGGCTGCCGCGTGCGCGCCGCCGCCGCCGCCGGACGACCGGCCGCCGCCGCCGCCGCCGGACGACGACGACGACGACGACGACGACGACGACGACAACGACGACGACGAGGACGGCGGCAACGACGACGACAAGAAGAACGCCGGCGCTGGAGACGACGATGACGACGACGACGGCGACGACGGCGCTGTCAGCAGCGACAGTGGCGTTGGCGACGACGGCGGCAACGCCACCAACGCTGCCGCCGCCGACGACGGCAACGGCTACGTCTACGGCGTCAACGGCAACGACACCGACGACGACACCTGCGGAGACGAGGGCGACGGCGGCGACGACGACGCCGAAGACAGCTGCGACGGCGAGGCCGAGCGCACAAATGGGGGAGTGGTGCGAATTGACCCCGTGGTCAAACCCATCCGATGGACAACTCGCGAGTGCAGGCGAAACAAATGGATCGCCCAGGTGTGACAGGACAACGGCTCCCCCAGCTGTTGCCCGAGGACGACACGCGCCTCTGAAGCTGATGCCAATGTCGGAGCAGACTGAACGCTCCAAAGACGGTCGACAGCCGAATATCTCGCGCACGCCCTGTGAGAAGCCGCGACCGGATATAACTGCAGCCGACTTTCTCGCGGACCTGCAACGCAGAGAACGTAAAGTTGACCCACCACGCTCCGCTGGAGGTGGAAGGGCGGGGATGGAGGGAGGAGGATCGGGCTGCCCTGGAAGCCTCTGGGAACCTCTGGTCAGGCCCCTTGGAGACGGGAGGAGAAGGACCCCTACCCTCAAGCGTCGCGAAACACACTACACGTGCTTCTCAGCCGTTCAGGCGTCTCCATGGGGCCGGTGCTCGGCGCCCAGGGCCATCCACAGAAACGGCTCGAGCCGATACACCGGTGCTGGGGAAGGGGTCCCCGGCTCCGCGGGCCCCCGTCCCGCCAGCCCTCCGGGCGTAAGTGGTCTGGGGCGGATTGTCTTCCAACCCCTCGATATTTTCTTCCGGGGAGAGGTTTATCACTGGTCCCTATTAATATACACCCCTTCCTCCAGGCGACCAGCAGCCAACCAGGAACAATGCTCACCCCCCCAACACCATCCCTGTCAAAAAATACACAACGCTCTCTGCCTCCAAATCTAGAGCATGCGCAACCAACCCGATGCGGGCCTCCACACCATCCCTGTCAAAACCTAGACAAAGTAAACTTTGGGGCAAAGTCTGGAGTCATGCTCGTGAAGCCCGCGAACACTTTGTATTGTTTGTTGACAGGGACGGCGGGGGTGTCAGCATAATACCTGCTGGGCGCAGGGCTGCCGTCTTTGACAAAACACACTAACAAATGCACATCGCGGCTGAATCTGGATCACTCTCGGCCACCCCGCGATCATTGCAAAAGGTTTTGAGAAGGACGGCGGGGGTGGTGGCGTATGGCCTTCTGTGCGCAGGCTACCAGACACAATGATGGGCATTGGTTTTCGATAAGGATGGTGATTGCCGACATGTTTCCCAATGTGTGTTTTCACGTGCGTGCGCAGGCCCGCCTGACACACTCTGCACGTGCCCCGAACGTGGCGCACCTGGCGCGGCTGGAGTATGCGGCACACCTGGCGCACGCGGAGGCAGGTGGCGCATTTGGCGCACCAGGCGTGCCTGGCACGCTCGGGCCCCAGGGGTGCCTGGCGCGCGTGGCGCGCCTGGCACGCTTGGCGCACCTCGCCCCAGCATCGCGCACATGGATTCGGTTTTGGTTCCCAGTAGATGTCCATCCAAAGACGACCGCTGGACAAACTGAGGCTTGGCTGTTATTATGTGTTGGGAGGCCGGGTGGGAGTGAGCTAGACGGCTTGCTATCTGGAGGGTGCCTTGGCCCCTCCCCCATACCCCCTCCCCTGGACCTGGAGGGTGGGGACCGCGAGACGTTGAAGCGTCCCAAATGGCCCGGGATGGCTCCAGAAGAACCTCAGAAAGCCCAAGCTGACCTCAAAGATGGCTCAAGATAGCCCAAGATGGCTCAATATGGCTCCCAAGATGCTCCACGAGGCCCCAAGACCAATCCAAGACGGCTCCGAGTGGCCACGGAGCCCCCCAAGGAGGCCGCCAGAAGGGCAAAACCACAAAAACACATTATGAAATCGATGACGTTTGCATTCTCGCCTTTTCGCTTCCGATGACTTCTCGAAGCCTTAAAGCCAGCTCCAAGAGGGCCCCTGAGGGCCCCAAGAGAAGCCCCCCCCAGGGCGCCCCACCAGCGCCCCAAGAGGGGCCCAAGAGGCGGCGCCCAGGAGGCCCCAAGAGGCACCCAGGAGGCCTTCAAGAGGCTCGACGCTACTAGAGGCCCCCAGGACCGCCATGAGGCTTTCACGACGCTCCAAGAAGCCCCCAACAAGCTTCCAAGAGACATCCGAGGAAACGCTGAGAGGCAACTTGTCTGGGCATCGTTTCTAGATGAGCTGGTGGGGATGCATTTGTTGTTCGTGAGCGCGCAGGGGTGCCAAGCGCCGTCAAGAAACATGGCTAACAAGCAACGGCCTAAATTCCGCGAAACGAGGAGGGAACGAATGCAAGCGGAACACGAGGCGAAAACAGAGGAAGAGGCGAGGGAAGAAAACACAGGAGCGAGCCACGCTGGGGATATTTTTTCGGTCGCGGCCGCGGGACAAGGGTCAGGCGGCGAAAGCAAAGTCCGGGGCACGAGCGAGGCGAATTAGCTACAACAGGCACAGGCAGTGCCGGCCCGCTCACAAAGCAGCCACGAAGCTGAACGGCGGGTGACGCCGAGGGTGTCCTGATCCTGAGAGCTCGTGCGCGCGCACAGACAAAATGTCATGGAATTCGGTGCCTGTCACAGTCTGAGACGAGAACCGGGAGCTGGTGGGGATATGTTTTTTTTCCGGTCGCGGCCGCGCGACGAGGGTCAGGCGGCGAAAACAAAGTCCGGGGCACGAGCTAGGCGAATTAGCTACAGGCACAAGCCGGCCGGCCCGCTCACAAAGCAGCCGCGAAGCTGCAGGGGAGCTGACGGCCGGGGTATCCTGAGAGCTCGAGCACGCGCACAGACAAAATGTCATGGGATTCGGTGCCTACCACAGTATGAGACGTGAACCAAACCAAGTCCGTCAATGTAAGTGAGGGCAAGTGGGAGGCCGGTGAAGTGAGTCGCCGTTGGGGCGCCAGGCTCCAAACGCCATGACGACGTGTGCTGCCAGGTGGGTTGAGCTGTCGCAAGCCGTGATGCCACGCAACTGGGAAAAGCTGATGGTGAGCCTGGGGTGCTGTAGCTGCTGCGGAAGGCTGAACCACTCCGTGGCCATACCAACACCCGACAGACCACCCCACAGTGCAAGGGGGAACCAAGCGACTGTGAGCCACGCAGTGCGTGCCGGCACGGCGTCAGGCCTCTGAATGAAGGGGGGGAGGACCAGCTGGCGTGGTGAGCATCGCCAGCGGGGAAGAGTAAGGGGAGCTGCACTGGTGGAAATGCTGCCTTCAGGACGCCAAACTGAACCGGGGACAAGCATATCCCCAAGTGAACAAACCTGGCTGTACCTCCCGACGTGGTCCTCCAGGGCCGCAGCTGACCGCCGCTGGGACTGAAAAGACAGTCCACGTACAGCTGTTGGCGTGGGCGGCCCAGGGAGGGGGGGGACACCACCAACGTCGGACAGTACGTCGGCGGCCCCCGGGGCCAAGAGCGGGGGACACCCGCCAGGTCCCCGAGGAGAGAGGCGGAGGGAGAGCCGCCCCTCTCCTCGGTCAGGCCCCCGCACCCATGGAATAGGGGAAGTGGTTGGTCCTCCAGGGTCGCAGCTGATCGCCGCTCAGGTCAGTGAAATATTGGGTGGGTCCTTCGAAGGTTATGGCGCCGAGGGACGGGTGGGAGCCTCTCCGCGGACCTCGGGCTGCGCTGAGTGCTGGTCCGTCCTTGCGGAGAGCGATGCCTCAGCGGGGATGGTGGGTGTTGGTCCTCGGGGGTCGCAGCTGATCGCCGCTAGACTCAGTATTACTTGACAGAGATGTGAAATATTGGGTGGGTCCTTCGCAGGTTATGGCGCCGAGGGACGGGTGGGAGTTTCTCCGCGGACCTCGGGCTGCGCTGAGTGCTGGTCCGTCCTTGCGGAGAGCGATGCCTCAGCGGGGATGGTGGGTGTTGGTCCCCGGGGGTCGCAGCTGATCGCCGCTAGAGTCAGTATTACTTGGCAGAGATGTGAAATATTGGGTGGGTCCTTCGCAGGTTATGGCGCCGAGGGACGGGTGGGAGTTTCTCCGCGGACTTCGGGCTGCGCTGAGTGCTGGTCCGTCCCTGCGGAGAGCGATGCCTCAGCGTGGATGGTGGGTGTTGGTCCCCGGGGGTCGCAGCTGATCGCCGCTAGAGTCAGTATTACTTGGCAGAGATGTGACCAGGCAAGGACGCCCTCACCGCCAGGCAGACGGGGGGAAGGCTGTGGCCAACTTCCTGCCACAGGGCAGGAAGTGGGCCACAGCATCCCCCCCGCCTGCCTGGTGGCGAGAAAAGGCTTGCCGCAGTCCTCTGTGTAAGAGCAGTGAGCGATGCCACTTCCAGCCTCCGCCACACGCGCTGAACCCAGCGCTGTAGCTGATGAAGTCTGGCCCAACCTTTGCCCCTCGCTTCGCTGAGGAGCGACAGAGCCTGCACCCACTGCCCGACCTTCCCACACTCGCTGATCTCGGGAATGTAGCTGAAAGCTGGCTGCAGCGTCGCCTTCCACCACTCGCTGCGCAGCGACAGAGCCGATGCCACTGCCCGCCGCACGCCCGACCCCAGCGTTGTAGCTGATTATGTTGGTGTCCAGCTTCACGTTGGACACTCGCGGAGCGGGCATGGAGCCTGAGGCCACTGACACCTTTCTCGCACGTGCTATTGTCAGCGATGTATCCGATGACGTCTGGCCAAATTTAGACAGTGCCAGCTGCCACTGGCCGCCTGTCTCGCACGCGCTGATCGCAACTTTGTACCGATGGCGTCTGTCTCCAACTTCGCGGCACATACCCGCCCAGCAGGGACAGTGCCTGTTGCCATTGTCCGCCTTTCACGCACACTCTGATCCCACTGCTGTAACTGATCACGTTGGGCTCCAATGCCGCCTGCCGCATGTTGCTGGGCAGCGACAGGGCCTGCTGCCAGTGTCCACCCTCCTCGCACCTGATCCCAGCGCTGCAACTGATGACAGTTTGGTGGGGATACGCGAAGCGTCACGAATTGCGGGGATCGAGAGGCATGAAGAGAAGGTAGATGCTCAGACAGGTCTGGCATTTCCTGCACGCAGTCGCGCGTCTGCACGATTTTCGAATGCTGTCAGAGGTTCTCAGAGGGAGGCTTGGAAGAGGTTATCAGAGGTGGTCAGAGGAGAAGGCTGGAGAAAGGTGTTGGAAAAGAACGAGTTCTGGAGGTTGTTTGGGGACCAAGGAAGAAGAGACTGTCAGTACGAAGTTACTCACAATCTCCAGGGAATTATACGTCATGCGATGCTGCCCTTGTCGTGGTGTCCTCATTGGACGTATTGCTTGCAAGCTGGTGACCGTCAGTTCCCGTTCGTCAAACTCTTCTTCTGTGCCTTTTGGCATGGCTCGCCATCTCGCCGAAGCCGCGCTGAAGGGCATCGGGCGACTAATCAGAACACGCCTTTGTCGCGTCGTCTTGCGAAGAAAAACCACGCTGCCTCGGATTCCGAGGCGGATCCAGCCGTGGCCACAGGAACGCCCTCGGAGATCCAGAAGTGCAATAATAATTGTAGCCCCCAACACTCGATTAGACGACGACGATGACGACGGGACGACGACGACGACGGCGACAACGGCGACTGCGGCGGCGACAGCCACGGCAACGACCACGACAACGCCAATCTTCGAGAATCTCCAGGAGCAATCGGCAACTTCCTAGAACCTGCGACAAAAATCCTGAGGTCCGACGTTGGGAGAGAGGTGCGGCATCGCCAAAAATCACGACAGGAGCCCTGGATGCAATCTTTCTGCGGCAAATTTCGAGCCAGCTCGATCCGTGATGGTCCCGGGGCCCGGAACGGGGCGAAGCTGCTCGGTGTAGACAACTTGCACAACGCCCAGATCTCAGGGCTCCGCGCGCTCTGGTCGTTCCGAATGGCCACATGGACGAAGGCATGGCGAGCATCCAGCCGGGTTCGTTCTCAAACCCCACCTCGGGGTAACCCCCCCTCTGCGAACCCCCGGACACTAAGCGAGGAGAGCCGGAGGCCTGCCAGGGACTGCCTGCTCGAAGCCCGGCAGCGAGGGCGGCGGCAGCGGCGGCGGCGGGCGGCGCGTGCCTCCTCTCGAACGTGCGCCCGAAGCGGGCGCCGCCGCCGCCCTCCAGACTGCGCAGGGTGAAGCGCAGCAGCCCGTCGTCGTCGATGAGCCTCTCGGCACAGCCAGGCCGTTGCAGACCAGGGCGGAGCAGCCAGCGTCAGGGGGGGGTGGTCGGGCTCAGGGGCGGCAGTCTCGAGGTGAGAGGCTTCCCAACGTCTTCGCCGAGGTTCTGCCGCTTTCCGGCCCCAGGGGTGCCATCCAACGCCCTCGACTCGCCGAGGGCGTTCTGGGGGGTGCCCGAATCGTTCCGAACGGCCGCTGGAGAGTGGAAGCGTCTCCCGAACACCAAGTTGGGCGCCCGAGTTATCCGGGGTAACTCGGGTCCGGGGTAAGTCGGGTTTGGGTTCCCGAAAAACGAACCCGAGTTAACCCTGACCCGAGTTACCCCTGATGATTCGGGGCTCTGGACGCCCGAAATATCCGGGGTAACTCGGGTCCGGGATAATTCGGGTTCGGACTCCCGAAAAACGAACCCGAGTTATCCCTGACCCGAGTTACCCCTGATGATTCGGGGCTCTGACCAAGGGCAACGTAGGGGTGGACCCGCCCAGGGGGGAAGCCTCGAGGCCGCATCGGCGGCTCGCCGCCCATGCATCGGCGATGGCCCCCCGGTAGCGAATGCGCACCATCCTCGGGCCGGGCGAGAGGGGGGGACAGCAAAGGGGGGGTTGGAGAATCTAGGGCTCCCAAATTCGCGCTTCGCGCTGCGCGAAGCGCGAAGCGCGAATAACTTCGCGCTCTCGCGCCGCCCTCCCAAAGGGAGAATAGGAGGACGAGGAGGAGGGGGAGAAGGAAGGAGGACCGCGAAGCGCGAAGCGCGAATAACTTCGCGCCCTCGGGGGAGCCCTTGGCAAAGGGGGGGTTGGAGAATCAGCTCACGCAGCTGATTTTCCGGGCGCCTCCCGGCGCCGGGAGGCGCCCACGTGTCGAGGCATGGGCCCGGCGGCGGGGCCGAAACCAGCTGCAGGCAGCAGATGTCGTAACCCCCTCTTTGCCTATCCCCCCCTTTCGTCTGGCCCGACATCCTGGGCGGGGTGGGCTATCCGACCCCATATCGACAATCAGTGGCCGTGCGGGGGTCGACGCATCCCCCCAGAGCCCATCCCCGCCTGG